CCCTTGATTTTCATGAAGTCCTTGTTATCAATCAGGTCAAGGCATTTTACCAGCTGATAGCATTTCTTAATCAATTCTGTGGTTATTTCATATTCCTCATATGTCAACTTAATGTCCATAATCTGCCTACAGACATCGTACTTTGCTCCAAAATACTCACTCTTTGAGAATTCACTCGTAATGTCCTTTATCCCATAATCAAAGTCTTTGATTTGTGCACCAGAATGAACATCATTCAGGTTAGCCAGTAATTCCTTATTCTGTACAGAGAATCTGTTGTATGAGAGCACTGAATCGCTGAAGCCTTTGAAGTTTGCTGCAATGATTCCCTCCATTGCATTTTCCAATTTATGGTACATGTCTCTGAACTCACTTGCCGGAATGCTTCCTTTGTTTATTCGTAGTGCAATATGCAGTGGATTGAACTCATCTGTTAGCACTGTGTCCCAATCTACTCGCAGTTCCTTAATGATTGTTTGTAAATCCATTTAGGGTAAATTCGTATCAAATTCAAAGGAACTAAACGAATCAAACAATAAAAACAACAGTTGTTTTAGAAGAGTAAACAGATGATTGAGCCATGCATATCCATCTTTATCAACGAAATCAGTAGGAAGGAAACAGACGAGGAGATGAATGAGTATTGTCTGAAGGAGTTGAAGCAGATTGCGCGATTACAGAAATTCATGAATGAAAATGAACAGGTTGTCATTTTGAAGAAGCTCTTTATGCAACTTATTGGATACAAAATACCTGAAATTGATTTCATTAAGACGATTGCAGAAAAAGATGAGACAATCAAAACGATTGCATTACTTGGATATCAAAATATGGAGAAACAAGAGAAACAGATTCTACTGATAGCACAGACTAAAAAGGACATGTCAAATAACATATGCTTTGTAAAATACCTGAATTTATTGGGTAATTTCAGAAAGATATCACCAGAATACTCTGATTTGATAGAAGAATTACACAACTCCAACAATAATCTGATTGAATGCTGTATACAAATGAACTATAAGAAGTATTCAATAGTATACGCCAAGTATTGCGACAAAAACATCAGAATTGACAACAAAAATATGATTGTCTCATTGCAATTATTCAGAAAACACAAAAATGTGCTGAATTGTGATGCTCTGAATAGTTTAATAGGCCAGTTATTCACTGAAACAGATCCATTTGCTACATATCAGATAATCAGGGTTCTATTGAAGATCACTAAGCCTGATGTACTGTTCATTCTGAAGGATGATACGAAACTGTTGCACTTTCTATCACAGAAGATCATCAAAAAGAAAGAAAAGGCTAGAAAGCAGATTGACATTGCAATATCAGTTGATGTATGCGAACTATTGATCAAAATAGACTGTTTTAATGTTGAAGCAGAAGCATTCATAACTAGACTAATTCAATCAGACAACATCAATTCCAGGCTGTTAGGAATTAATTGGGCTATTAGAAATGGTATATTGATCAATGCTGCAGCAAAGCACGCATTACTGCATCTCAAAGAGGATGATTTCTATACAACTGCTTTGTGCAAACTGATTAACAGTGATAATTGTATTGAAATTTACCAATGTGGATCAGAAAATAGGCTTCCAGTGACTGTGATTGAGACAATCTTCAAATCAACCAGTGACAAACAGTTCAGGTCAAAAATCTTGTTTGATAGACCTGAAATATACAGTGCTATCTACAAGTACATCAGAAAGGACCATCTTAATATTGATAACATCATAGACAGCAAAAACAGAATGCATTTCCCCTTGATCTATCACAACGGTGGAGTATTAGAAAATGATCAAATATGTGACATCATTGAAAAACATCTCAGAATATTGATGAAGAGAGAATTAGGTAGTAATGAACTATATATTCTGCAACAACTCCATTCATTTGCTGCATCATATGGTGATATAGAAGAGAATAGACGCATTCTATTACAGTACAGACACATCAAAGAAATGCAACCAGGAATTGTCCTATTCAACCAGGTACTTCCTGATAAAATACTGTTTGTAGCAGATGCATTGATCCCATACAGATTGATCAAAAACACATTGGAAATTGATGGATGCGAGGTGTACGTGAATAACAAGAAGATTGAGGGTGAAGACGGTTGCTACGACGTATCAGGCGATCATGGATCAATATTGGTCAAATACAATCACATAATCAAAATAATAAATTAGTATTGGATTTAAATGTGTTTCTTGTAGTCTTCTACGATCATAGCTAGCTCATTGTTGTTCACACAGTCCATTTTTGAGGCTGTTTCCAGAACAGCATCTTTTTCCCAAACCCCATTGAAGTAGACGAAAAACAGCGCCTTTGAAACCGATTCCTTTGGCAAATTGCCCAGCATTTCTTTGCTGAAATATTTCCCACCATTTGCCAAGTTAACCAGTGCAAGACGAGCAAGCAGCTTCTGATTGTGATAGTTCTTCTCCAAAACAACCAACAGGTTATCCAAATCAGTGCATCGGAACAGTTGCAATACGCACATATCCAAATACACTGCATTGTTCCTTTTCAAATTGTTCATTATTTCATTCTTGATCATATTCTCAACAGTGCTATTCATTTTGCTGATTCCAAAGAACAAAATGAATCTCTCGAATTCAGTCGCATTTTCAAAGTGCCTGATGAAGAACGCGGTCTCTTTTTTACCAAAGTTGCCAAGGATACTCGTGGATTTACGTGGTTCCGTGTAACTGTTAGACGTAATGTTGTAGAAACCAACGAGATCATCGACATTGATCAGGTTTTGTCTCAAGAATGTGATGTCATTTGCTACGTCACATCCAGCTGCTATCTTAGCCTTTACGTAATCAACGTAGTCATTTGATTTGTATTGGCCAAGTAATTTGTTTGTATCAACTGGCTTTATGCATTTGTAAAATGAGTCATAGACGAGCTGTTTCGCAAAGATGACGAAGAAGTCACGAGTGACGAATTCATCATTCTGGGAGACAATGAGCTGCTCAATCAGTATGTCATTCTCATCCACAGTCTCCAGGTCAACAGCCTTGATTTCAAGAATGTCGCAGAAATCATCAACAAGTTTGTTGTAGATTTTGAGAATTCGCTTTTGCAGAAATGGACTGTTTTTCAGTAGTGAGTTGAAGAAGTTGCAGTTGTTGATGACGAACTGGCCTATTTCCTTGGTGTAGCAATCATTGAGCCAACTGAGTCCTTCTGTCACGTTTTCAGAGATCCTATCCAGTATGTCAATGTTGATGTAGTACGAGAAGTCATCAAACAGCCTGAGATAGACAAAGAAGTGTCTGGATGAGTTGCACAGTATCAGGTTGATGATAGATGTGTCATGAATGATCATGTTGTTGTTAATCTGGTATTCTATCAGCTTCTCTACCACATTTGAATTCTTCAAAATTGTGTTTCGTAAATGAGGGCAATTAAGCTTAATCGTCTCATAATCCAATTTCCCATCAAAGCATTCAATCACACTTAAAGGATCCTCTGATTTGAATCCCCACATCTTGAAATCAGTTGCTGTTTCATCCACACTCAAATACGGGCTGCCTATGCTCTTTCCTGTGTTCACAAGCATCTCTTCATACTCTTTCCTCTTCTGATACTCATTAATGAATCGAATTACACGTGGAAGTAGATGGAATTCATGTTTCTTGAATTCGTCTTCAATCGCATCCTGGCATTCCAGCTGCTTCTTGATGAACACATCCTTATCTGAGAGATAGGTCGTCAGTATTTCGTAGATGACACCTTTCAGTTTGCCACCAACTCGATACAGTAGAATTTCCTGGAACAGACCCAGAAACTTGTAGAAATAGCTTCTCTTGTACTTCGATATCCTTTCGATTGCCATCAGAATGTAACAGAATGTGTTCTCATCCTGTTCTCTGATCTTCATCTTCTCCTGCTTTGCAAAATACACAAACTGCTTCAATGCTTCCTCGAGTTTGTCAAAATACCCCTGTAATTTTTCTAGTGCGAAATCAGCACCTTTTTCATCTCTGATCAGTGACGCAACAAACCCAATAAACTCATCGCAATGCACCTGTTCCATCTCAAAATACTCCTTCTTGCTTCGATCATTTATCAGGAAGAATATCCTGTAGATCTCCTTCATGTTGGCTGATACTGCCTTTTTGGTTATTTCATCAATGATGGTTTCTTTGACTATTTTCCTGAACTTGTTTTTGTAGCTTTCGATGAAATTGACCAAAACACCGTCTATTTTGAGACTGTTGAGCAGACTGAGTTCATATGACTTGAATGTTCCATCAATCAACAATGTGAAGTTGGCCGATACTTCATCAGGCATCGTCTTCTCCCTAACGTACTTCTTCAGCTTTTCATTCACGTACTTCGTGATGTAGCACACATCTACGATCAGGTAGAATATTTCACGTTCAATTCGCTGTTTTTCAAATAGAGCAACGGCATCTTTGGTGTCTGATTGAACTGCAAACAGCAGATCAATTGCTGCATCCAGTAACCCAGTGGAGAGTGGTACGTTGTTAGTTACAAGATACTTCAACAATATCATTGCATTTTGCTTTACTGTCAGTGTCACAATCTGCTTAGAATCCTCCAAGTTGAAATTTCTGATTTTCCCGTATTCGATCTGCTTCTTTTTAAACAGCTCTTCCAAGAAATCCAAGTCTTCCTTGCTGCACTGTTGGATGTTGTTGTAGATTTTGGTGCTTGTCTCAGTGAGTCTTTTTATTTCTTTGCCTTGCATAGTAGGGTAAAAATTGTGCAATGATTCAGAGAATGCATTGGATACATTCCACTGTTTACTGCCATCCTGCTATCAACAGCAGCCTTCTACTTCCTTTATAGACCATGTGAACATATTTCTATTTCTTAAATCCAATACATAAACAACCTTAATTTATCATGAATTCCTCTAAGCCTCTGCTATCATCAGCTACAAGCAGTGACATCAACCCTTTTATTAGGCTCCTTTTTCACAAGAAATAGTCCGTTTCTCCTACGACCCTATGTCTAACATTCTAAAAACCACAAAATGTGAAACAGAAGAGCAAAACACGGGAATGGCAAATGAAAAGGAAAAGGGCGCAGCCAGCAACTTCATGAGAATCAGCTCGTACAGGCCAGACGCCTCCTCAGACAACAGGATCAAAAACACAAAATACTCCTTGGTCTCATTCCTGCCCCTTGTCTTCTGGCAGCAGATTAAGGAGCCCGCATCCTTCTTGTTCTTCATCATCATGCTGCTCCAGGCGAACAAGACACTTGCAATCGGCCACTTTGTCAGCAGCCTGACACCGTTTCTCTTTGTGTTCTTTCTGAGCATCTTCAACGAGGGAATGGACGACTACAAGCGATACAAGCGAGATAACTTCGTCAACGCGGAGCTGTTCAAGAAGTACGTGTTTGGGAGGAAACTGAAGGATTCTGGCGAGACCAGCGAGTCGGAAGAGAAGCAGCCTGGTTTCAGGTGCACCCTTCTGAAGAAGGAAAACGCCTACAAATTTGCACCAGTCAAATCGGAACTCATCAAAGTGGGCGACATCATCAAAGTCAGCAAAGGGCAGAAATTCCCAGCTGACTGCATTTTGCTGAATTGCAACGACGAAAACGGGGAGCTGTTCATCAGAACAGACCAGCTGGACGGAGAAACAGACTGGAAGAGGAGACAGTGCTGCATAGAATTTCCAACTTCAGAGGACGAGCTGGTTGCAGACGTAGAGAAGCCACATAAGGACATTTATGCATTTGCAGGAAAACTGGTTCAAGGCGAGATGAGGAAGTCGCTTGATTTGGACAACACGGCCTGGACGGACACGGTTGCGGCCACCTCAGACGCAGTTGGCCTTGTCATCCACACTGGCTTCCAAACCAGGGCCAAAATGAACACGTATCTTCCACGATCTAAAACAGGCCTGATTGACAAGGAAATCAACGGGTTCGTGACACTGCTCATCTTCGTCTGTGGCCTCTGTGCCATTGCGTTCTCTGCGATGCGAATCACCACTCTCGACCTCGCTGCCGTCGTGATATTCGTCAGGTTCGTGATTCTGTTCAGCTACATGATACCAATTGCACTGAAAGTGACTATTGCGACTGGAAGAATGGCCTATGCCACGTACGTTGACAAGTCGATTGTGGTCAGAAACACGAACATTCAGGAGGAGTTAGGACGCATCTCGTTCTTCCTGACCGATAAAACAGGAACTTTGACTCAAAATGAAATGCTCATGAAGAAGATTCACCTGGGCATAAACAGTTACGATGAGCATGAATTCAGGGAATTGAAGGAGATTTTGAGGAAATTTGCGTTGAAGAAGAGGATGGGACGAGAGATGAAGCAGCTGAGCCAGAAGGTCTTTGACCTGGTTGAGGCACTGGCTCTCTGCCACAGTGTCACTCCTGTTGAAACTGAAGACGGAATCGATCTCCAGGCGTCTTCTCCTGATGAGGTTGCCCTGGTTGAATTTGTGAGAAGGCTGGGAGTTGAACTCATCAGCCGAGACCGAAACTCCCTCAAAATCAGGTACGTTCATAGGAAGAATAAGAAGGGTGAAGAAGGCGAAGAAGTTGTTGAGGCGATAAACATGGATTATAAGATCCATCACATTTTCCCGTTCAATTCGGACACGAAGAGGATGGGAATTGTGCTAGAACGAGATGACGGATCATTTGTGTTCTTTGAAAAGGGAGCAGACACCACGATGTCGAAAATAGTGAAAGAGAACGACTGGGCTGAGGACGAGACGGATGACATGGCGCGAGAGGGACTCAGGACGCTGCTAATTGCGAAGAAGGAGCTGACCAAGGCGCAGTTTGAGAAGTTTGATGAGATGTACACTGAGGCAAAGCTTACTCTGAATAACAGGCAGCAAAACATGTATGATGCGCAGAGGAAGCTGGAAAAGGGGCTCGATTTGCTTGGGCTGACAGGGGTGGAAGACAAGTTGCAGGATCAGGTGAAGGAGACCCTTGAGAGTCTCAGAAATGCAGATATCAAGATATGGATGCTGACTGGAGACAAGAACGAGACTGCAATCAGCATTGCAAAGAGTAGCAGGCTGCTGAGCAAGACTGATCGGTATCTGGTGATCAGCGGATGCACCACTGAGATCGAGATCAGGGAGAAGATTGATCTGCTCAAAAAGAAGAAGTTCAATGCGCTGGTGATTGACGGAGTCAGCCTGGCTGTGATTTTGAGTCCAAAGAACATCACAAAAGTCAAAGGAAAAGAAAGGAACTTTCTGCTCGAAGAATTCATCGAAGAGGCCAAGGGGCTGACTGCCCTGATTGGATGCCGCTACACTCCGACACAGAAGGCCATGATGGCTGCTTCATTGAAGGAGTTGGCTGGAGAAACAGTCCTATGCATTGGAGATGGAGGAAATGACGTGTCAATGATCACTGAGGCAGACACAGGCGTTGGAATTGAGGGAAAGGAGGGAAACCAGGCTGCTCTTTCGGCTGATTTCTCACTCAAAAAGTTCTGCTTCGTCACGGAGCTGCTCTTCTACCACGGTCGCGCCTGCTACGTCAAATCAGCCGGTCTCGCCCAGCTCACGCTTCAAAGGGCGTTCATCGTCACAATTCTCCAGGGCGTCTTCAGTGCCCTGATCGACTGTGTCCCCCTCTCAATCTTCCAGGGATACATGTCATCGATGTTCATTCTGTTCTCGTGCTTCCCAGTTCTGACTCTCTACAAGGGATGCGATATCACCAAAACAGTCGCCCTGAAGTATCCAGAACTCTACAAGGAGCTCAGAATGAGCAACAAGTGCTCCCTGAAGGAGTTCATCACGTCCATTCTGGTTGCGTATCTTCAGGCTGTGGTCATTTCAATTGGATACATGCTCGTTCTGAAGGACAAGGAGCTCCACTTCTACTCCGTGATTGTATTTACGTCAGCAGTGATCAATGAGTACATTACGACTCTTCTTTTTAACAGCAGGCCCAGACTGATCACCATTGCAGTGATTTTTGGATCAGTTGTTTCATTCATCATTGCCTCCCAGCTATTCACTGAGTTCCACATTGGTGCATTCACATTGCTCTGTTTCGTCCCACACATGATATTGATCAATTTTCTGGCTGCGTCCGTGCTGATTGCACTGAAACTGTATCACAGGTACCTGAATCCAGCATCACACATCAAGATCACAAAGTACTAAAATGATAAATACATTCAGTAGTAAGTTGGATTGAATCAGGTTATTGGTCAAATATACATCAGCAATATCAATAAAACAATATCGAGCAACTATCAATTAATCAATATTGGGTAGAAAAAGACTGGTTTTATTAGGCCATGTTGAGTTGTTTGATTCAACTTGCTGTTGCTACAGAGTGGATCGTATCAAAATACGATGAAATGAACGAGAAGAAGACGAATGCCACGGACTTCATCAATAAATTGGTTATCAGCATGGAGATGATACAAGAAGATATCAATAAGAACACAATTGAGTTTGATAGGTTGGAGAATCACATAATTGAACACTATCAGGTATTCAATAGCAAGTATTACATGAGTGTACCAAAAATAAGAAGAATAATGGATCAGATCACTAAGATGAGTCATTATTACAATTGTCAAAAATTAACTTATATTGAAAGCCTGCAACATAACGTCAATTTATTCAACAGAATGTCAAATAGCAACAAGAATGCGGAGATGTTCAAGGATGAAACAGCAATAAAGTATCGCAACTTGTATCAAATTGGGCTGAAGATAACGAAGGAGCTGCTTACTGTAGTTTACACAGAAGGAGAGACATTGAATGTTGAATTACAGACAATGCTATTAGACTACGAATATTTGTGCAAGTACCCTGCTATTTATTGGTCTGTTGTTGCAAAGAGGAAGAACGTGGTTGGAGAGAAACACGATGAAATTATGAAGATTTTTGAAGAACTCAAAAGGATCAAGAATGGGATAAATGCGCAGAGAGCACAATCGAAACTGATATTCAATGGACTACTGAGACTCCACAGCTACATTTCAAATGTATCTGATTTATCGTACTGAAAAGAAGCATAAATACCCTGAATGGAATGTGAGAACGAGTCAAACAGAAAAAGCGGAGCAGTCGAGAAACTGGACGAATTGGCACAGGTGATACGGGATGTGGACAGGAACATGAGAAACTTAGTAGAAGAGACCAAGTTCATTACACTTCATGTTCAAACAAGCATCTTGGCTTACAAACAAAATAAGAAATAAGCTTAATTGAGTCTTTATGTAGGTTGTGCCCCTGTTTCTG